TAGGGTTTAGGGGTTTAGGGGATTTCTTCCCGGAACTAGGAGCAGGTGACAAGGAAAGTAGACAGGTCGCTGCGACTAGGGCCACAAACAACAACAGTAATGCGGCGGGCCTTTATAATTAGAGTAGGGTGTTGGGTCTATTATACTCTGATTATGAGAAGGAACCCCCAAAACCCTATTCGAAATATTACGGCCCCCCACATTATGGAATGAGGAACCCACAACACATCCGTAGCTATGTTCGTGTGAAGCATACCATGGTCTTGTGTATGGAAACCCAATGACCCAAAACCAAAACCTGACCCTACACAACAAGCAGCAGCCCAGGCGAGTTCATCATCGCCTTGACTCATCTGAGCCTGATGCCTCTCGACTGTAGTCTAGACCCCTGATTGATAACACCCGTCCCCATATCATGATTATCATCAAGGTTGTGACACTCCGTCCCGTAGAAAAGTTCTGCTTCACGGAAGTCCGCGTGGGTGGAGCTTTTTTTGCAGGTTTCGGCAGGGTTTAAGGCTTAGGGTTGCAGCTTATCTCATAGTGCGCAGGGGCGCAGGGCTTTTTGCCCTAAACCAGCATGCGTTGGAGTGAAGAGCATCGGTTCTCCAGACACCTGATCGACATCTTAAGACTCATGGCCGTCATGGTGAATGCGTATGAGTTCCCAAGGGGCTTCAATCAGCCTCCCAACTAGGCACCTTTTGCAGACTGTGGACCCCAAAGTGGGTGCTGTTTGTACACTTGGAGTCGCAGAGTTGTAGACGAATCTTTCATAGCCCCCCCAAGATATGATCCTGGAGCCCTGGTATAGACACTACTGTCCTTGAGGGTGCTTTGCGTTTCATGCTCCAGCTGTGAGTATGTATGTTCAGGTTTCATGGTTTGAAATGTCGGTGTAGGGGCTGTTCTGACTGAAGGTTTCTTTGGGGTTGCTGATGATGTCTTCGGTGGATTCGAAGCACGTGCAGCTTAAAGGAGTGACAAGCAGCTGGCAGAGTGGTGTCCTGGCATCAACGTTATCCTTGGAGGGCACGACCATGTGTCTCGGCTTCTGTAAATTAATGGAGTTTTGAGGGCTCTGCGGCGGTTGACGAAGGTTATTATAAGCTTTATACAACGGGTTTGCCAAAGGCACTCATCGGGTGGAATAACAAGTTGTGTAAGGAGTTTAGAAGAGTTTTGTTCGAGGTGTTACGAGGTTGTGCTGAGCTTTTGCTCGGAGGATACCCGAAACCCTAAACCCGAAAGTTTAAACCCGAAGCCCTAAACCCCAAACCGTGTGGCTTCGGACGGATGCTTTTAGGCCTGATTTTCGTCATGCCTTAATCTTGCATACTTTAACTTTACTCTGCTAGGGGCGTAACTATGAACCCTGCTACACACATTGTAGGACCTCTGTCCTTTGCATTTGCACATGCTTCGAAATAGGTTTAGGCTTAGGGCTGAGAGGCTTAAAATTTCCGGGTTCAGGGCTGCTCAAGCCCAAATGCCCTCAAACACATCTTGGAAAAGATCCTTTTCGACAAACCGAGCACTCACCCGCCTTCTCTTCAACCCTAAACCCTAATTAAACCCTACCCCCCATCGTGAATCTGTCAGTCAGGATCCGTTCTTGTTGGTCCATCGAGGCGTGCTCATCGCAAAGTGCGGCCAGCACTCTGATCGGCACGAGAGAATTTTCTTGCCTTTTTGTTTGCTGTTCTTGGCCTTATGGGTGGTTGTCAAAATTATGGTCTTTTTTGGGTCCTTATTATTGTTGAAAGCTTGCAC